TGTAAAAACTTCAATTGAATTTCAATAAAGTTAAAGGCATGGCCTCACCATTAATATTTAAAAAAAAAAAAAAAAAGTAATTATATGATAAAGTCATTAATATATTTATGAACAGTTATTTACTTTTTTGTAAATAGTTTCTATACCTATCCTATAGTAATACAAAGCTATACTGCTCATATGTCTTATTCGAATATATATATGCTTTAGCCCCAACTGCTTATTTTAATGTTTATGTACATAGCTATTATGGTTCTTAAACATAAACAAAGACATAAGCAGGATGAATTATACTGTAAATAAATAACTATATATAGGTATAATAGAAATAATAATAAAAAAACTATAATAAAATAAATAAATACACTTTAACACTATGAATCATCCAGTTGGTCAACCTACAGGTCAACTTATAGGTTAACTTATAGGTCAACTTATAGGTCAACTTATGAGTCAGCCTATAGGTCAACCCATAGATCAACTAAAATTAACTTATAGTTCAACCTATAGATCAACCCATAAGTCAACTAGTAAGTTAACTCATGTGTTAACTCATGAGTTAACTTGCAAGTCAACTTATAGATCAACCTATTAGTCAACCAGTAAGTAATTCACAGATCAATTTATAAGTCAATTCATGAGTCAACCTATAAGTCAACTCATAGGTTAACTTATAGATTAACTCATAAGTCAAGCTATAAATCAACCAGTAGATCAACTTATAAGTTAACTTACAGATCAAACTATGAGTTAACCAGTAGGTTAACCTGCAAATCAACTTATAAGTTAATTCATGAGTCAACCTATAGGTTAACCAGTTGCAGGTTCAATTTCTAGCCAGAAAAACTATATGATGCAACAAAAGAAGCATCAGACTAAGCAATATCAGCATCAAAAGAAACATGACTAATAATAAAAAAGAAGTTTTACCAATGCTAAAAGAAACAAAGAAGGTCAGTTCAATGTCAGTAAAAGAAACTCGATAATACTAACAACAAAGAAGAAGCACCAAATTAGATGATACTAATGACAAAAGATAATGAAGCATGAAAAGAAATATCAAACTAGATGACCTATAACCTAAAGTAAAAAAAAATATGCATTAAAATACTAATATCAATTATTAATTTATAGGGCTAATTAATAAAAATCATTAATAACAGTTGATTGATTAGATTGATTAAAAAAAAAATTTAGTAATAAATACTTAATTAATCAAAAATTTGGCTGAAGTTATAAAATGATTAATTAATTAATTATTCAAAAAAAGTTAATAATAAATTAATTAATTTTGGCTTGTTACTATATAGAATAATAAGTAATTAAAACAATAAAAAGGTTGAATTTTTGTTTAGTACACATTAAATCTAAATATGAAACAAGTTCCAAAAGAAGATCGTATAAAAATACTTACTTTAAATGAACTAGGTTATTCAAAACATGAAATTGCTAGATATGTAAATGTTGCACCCTCAACAGTTATTAGGACAATCCAAAGAGATCAAGAAACTAGCAAAAGTAAAGACCGAAAAAAATCTGGATGTCCAAGAATTTTCTTAGCTAATGATGAAAAAGAAATTATTAAGCTATTAGACTCTAACAAAGGTTCAACAGTGACTGAAATCCATGCTAACTATATTAATGAAACAAATAACCAAGTTTCAGTTGAAACAATAAGAAATACACTAAAAAAAAATAGATTTGTATTCTGAGTCAAAAGAAAAAGACAACTTCTTGAACCAAAACATATCAACCAATGGCTTGAATTTGCCAAAAAATACATAAGCTGAACAATAAATAACTGGAAGAAAATCATTTGGTCTGATGAAAGTAAATTTTTACTTTTTGGATCAAATTTTTACTAGGATTATTGGACCAAACCATGTGAACCTATTAAAATCTCTTATATTAATTCTGTAAAACAATTTGGTAGCAGCAGCATAATGGTAAAGAGTTGTATTTGAATATTCTAAGAACAAAAAAATAAAATTATATATTAATTAAATATTTGATTTACTAAAATCTCAGGTGTGGGGCTGCATAACTCTCTATGAAGTTGGTGAGTTATATCACATTAAAGGTATAATGGATTCTAAAAGTTATTGTAAGATATTATCAAGATATTTAAAAAATATACTCTCAAAATATAATCTAAATATTGATGATATTGTATTTCAACATGACAATGATTCAAAACATACTTCTACATATACTACAAATTGGCTTGCCTGTAGGCAATATACTGTTCTTAACTGGCCTTCTCAGTCTTCAGATCTTAATCCCATAAAGCAAGTTTGGAGTAAGATAAAATGATGCTTAAGTAAACTTAAGTCTGAAGATGAAGAAGAGTTATAAGAAAATATAAAGCAGGTATAGAACGAATTCGATGTTAATATGTATAACAAGTTATATGAGTTTATGCCCAAGAAAGTAGAAGCTTTATTTAGAGTTCAGAGCAGTTATTTCATGTGATATTAGTTAAATATGTTAATCAAATTACTGTACAGCATGAACTAAAATATCCAGGATACTTCATAATTTAAGCTGTATATAGGTATTATAGTCGGAGGAATACTATGATCAGCATAGGAGGTATAAGTTATACTATATAGATGCTGCAGTAATATTTTATATACTAAGTGAAATTAAAATCATGAGGAGTATTATAAAAAGGAGATCTTTTAGTTCATGCTGTACGGTACTATAATCAAATTTTTTTTGTGCAAAAATTAATAAAATAAATTGAAATATGTACATATTATTTTTATAATCTATAATTGTTATTTGTATAATGTAAAAATCTGTATACACAGTTAATTTAGTTAAAAAAGGAGAGTTGTTTAATTAACATGCACTAACTCTGGTTAGTCCCATCACTACTTACAATAAAATAAAATTTGAGCTAATCATTTATGTAATATAACATAATTATTCCGATAATAGTTAGATTTTTTATTTTTGCATACTGGCACAAATTGTAAGAAAAACAAAAGCATTCAAATACATGTAATTAAAATAGTACAATAAATTCATTGTTTTTAGGTTGTCGAATGCTTTTGCCATAGAATGTGTATATCAATGTAAATACAATTATACTATTTCAGTATTTAAATCTTGCACTTATTTTGTTATCGTTCTTCATTCTTTTCATAGGTTTATGTTTTATCCCAAGTTTGTGAAATGGTACCAGAATGGGCATTTGGACTTGAAATTGGTATTATTGATAAGTATTAGTTTCTTTTTTCTCATTTTTGTTATTGTTTTTCATTTTTCATGCTTGTACTAACTCGTCTTTTTTTCATAGGTTTATGTTTCATCCTGGGTTCGTGAAATGGTGCCAGAATGGGTATTTGGACTTGAAACTAGTACTATTGATAAGTATCAGTTTTTTTTTCATTTTTGTTGTTGTTTTTTCATTTTTTATTCTTTTACTAACTCTTTTTTTTTCATAGGTTTATGTTTCATCCCAGATTCATGAAATGACATCAGAATAGATGTTTGAACTTGGAACCAGTATATACTATTGATAAGTACCAGTTTATTTTTTCTTGTTTTTGTTGTTTTTTTTCATTTTTTGTTCTTTTACTAACTCTTCTTTTTTTGTAGGTTCATGTTTTATTCTGAACTTGTGAAATGGCATCAGAATAGATATTTGGACTTGGAATTGGTACTATTAATAAGTATCAGTTTCTTTTTTCTCATTTTTATAGTTGTTTTTTTTTCATTTTTCATTCTTTTACTAACTCTTCTTTTTTGTAGATTAATGTTTCACCCAGGTTTGTAAAATCGCAATTCTGTTTTGTAGGTTTATGTTTTGGCCTAAAATTGTAAAATTGGTATTAGTTTTTTTGCATTGTCGATATGTCTTGTAGTGATAGTAAGTAGTATTCTATATATAAGTTGTAATTTAAATTTAACTTTTCAATAAAATTGTATTGGCAAATTATAGCAATAAAAATTATTGAGAACAATAAAAAAATACTGCTAAGTTAGAGTTCATTACCAATATTATAACTGATAATATCTATAACCATTATTATAATAATAGTAACTTCTTCACTTGTTAAAATATGCACTTCTTGCATTATCTGAATAATTTATCGAATAATTTGATTATTCATCTTTTAATCTATTTTATCTAATTATCTATCAGATTTCAGATATTTAATAAAACTCATACCTGTATATAGTTATTTATTTATAATTCATCCTGCTCATGCTCTTGTTTACATTTAAAAACCATGGTAGCTATATACATAAACATTAAAATAAGCAGTTAGGACTAAAGCATATATATATTCGAATAAGACATATGAGCAGTATGGCTTCATGTTACTATGGGATAGGCATAGAAACTATTTATGAAAGAGTAAGCAACTGTTCATAAATATATCAATGACTTTATTATATAATTGCTTATTGTAGCTGTTGCGAATAAAATTGTATAAATACAGGTTCTTTTTGCTTTTCTAAAAGGACAAGTTACAGATTAAATTAAGAATAAAGTTACGAATAGAGTTATGAATAAAATTACCAAGACTGTTTTAAATAAATAACTCACTTTACTTTATATTTAACATTCCTGAAACCTCTCTAAAATTAAATTATCTTAACTTCACTTAATAAATAATTATTACTTCATTATGCTAAATTATCTCTATATATAAATATATATTAGGTCTCTTATTTAACATAAAAGAAGTAAGCATTAAGGCTGAATAGACCTTTTATTAAATAAATAGAAGCTGTATATTATATAGTTATATAGTTTATCAAATATAATATACTTATACAGAACGATCTTTAAAACATTAAATATAACACTTAATTACTTGGTAATTAAATTAATTCTATATTATAACTCTTTTATTTAGATCACTCTTAACTACTACCCTTTTTGTCTGACTACTATCGATCTAACTGAATATAATAGATAGAATCCTATCAATGATAATTTTACTAATTATAATTAGATAACTATACTAAGTATTAGGTTAACTATTAGAACTAAACTGTGCTATACTATATGTTCTTGCAATTTACAATAGTAACAATATATAGGGTATACAGAGCTATACTAGAAAAAAAAATATACTTAATCTAACCTAAACCTAACCTAAAACTAATATAAACCTAACCTAAACCTAATTTAAACTTAATATTTTAATTAAAATATTAGGTTTAAATTAGGTTTAGGTTAAATTTAAAATAGGTTTAGTTTAGATTTAAGTTAATCTAAATATCATAGAATGTGATATATCACACTTATGTGATGTCTAACTTTATCTAAACCTAACTTAAACCTAGTATTGCAATATATTTTTGAGAGGCTTAAAGTTGTATAAGTGACTAGTTGTACACTCTTTCTATAGTTGCTTCTTGTGGTTGTAATGCAACCATTAACCAAATATATTATTAATAAAATCTTGGATCACAAGTACTTACCTTAATATTTAAAAAAAAAAACAACATAATTATATTGTTTTTACTAAAAAGAAGAAAATAAAAAAAGAATTTAAAAATTATAATTAGATTTAGTTGTTGATTTTATAGAAAAAAAAATAAGATTATTTTTTTATAACTCTAATAACTAGTTTTTTAACTAGATTAATTTTTTAACTAGTATAACAAACTGCTTCTAAGCACTTATAAAAACAACTAAAAAATGATAAATCAAAATTTAAGCCAACTTTGTAATTATCAAGACTGCTAAAGTCAAAAAAAAGTATATTTGTTAAAACTAATATGTATAATAAACAAAGCTTTTATATCAATTTTAAAAAATTATTAAAATCAAAAAATCTAATTACTATAATATATCAAAACACAAATATAAATATAGTTAAACTGCAATATAAGTAAGCTTACAAAAACTTGTTTGCAAATATTAACAAATATTATATTTATATTCAATAGTTTTGTCTATTTATATTGTAAATTAACTATAAACATGATAAATATTTTTTTATTAGTTTTTTAAGAAAATAAACTTTAAATTTAATTACTAATATTAACTTTTAATTTCCAATAACCCTAATTTTAAATTTTAATACTGTAATATATACGTAGTAAATAAAATTATTTACAAAATAATACGTACCATAACACAATACAGAACAGCATAAAACAATGCACCTTAATTAGATTAATTAAAGTTCTATAAATACAATCAGTAGTGATTTTTTTATATATATACAATCTAGCTAAAAATGTTTTTATGTGCAACTAGATAAAGGCATTGCATTGCATTAAATGCCCGAAGCCTGATTAAGTAATTTAATTTGTTTGCCCATAACTATAACTATACGTAACGATAATACGTAGATAATCTATACGTATTATGCTTTGCCGAGCAATTTTATTGGCCATAATACGTTTTTTATAAGACAATTAAAAAACTAAATATAGAGATAGCTATAATACATCAGTAACGTAACTGTTCTATCAAATTGGATGTCCTCCGCTACTCCGAAAAAATTAACTATTTAATAAATTATAAATGGTGGGATCAACGTTCACGTGACAGTATTAAATAGCATTATATCGATATACATGTCATTAATTAAATCGACTAAACAAATAAATGGACCCAAGGAAAATATAAAAAAATGTCAAAATCAATTTTAAATTCATGGACAAATCCACACTATCCGCATTAGATGATAAAGATAATCCAGTGCCAGTGTAAGATGCACCATCAATAATAGTAGTAGTCATTGAAGGAGTAGTTGTTGTAGGGCAACTAGAAGGGTTAGAATCAAAAATGGCCAAAGCAGGATACTTTACACCAGAAGTAAACGATATGCTATATGAAAACTTTGTTTCACAACCATTAGGATTCGACACAGCCAAACATAAAACAGTAGAAGTATTAAAAGTTTGTGAGTTAGGCGAGCAACTAGGAACTGGTTGATCAGCGCACGATAGATTTGCAATATAAATGAAAGAAGCACTGTTAGGATCAGCGAACTGATGAGCTCCAGTATAGTTTGTGCCGAAAGTCAAAATGCCGAATTGAGAGAAAGAACCAGGCCTATGTGCCAGTGAAGTTGTACCGGCTTGATCATTTGGGATTGCAGAGCTTGGTACTACTGCTATTGCATATTCTAAAAAATGAAATATATAAGAATATATTATATATATATATATGTATGTATATATGTAAACAAAAGCTAGAATGGAACAGGAAGAAAATTTAATAAGAAAGGAATACCCATATAGCTTGTAGATGTCTTGCTACAGACAAACCAACCATAACTAGTATCATTCAAACTTACGATACCACTATCAGTGTCTTGAGCATAGACTAATAGACCACGCTATCATTTTATTAAACTTTAAATATTAGAAAAAAAAAAAGAATTGAATATAGAATCAGTTAACACATCAATATAAAACTTAAAAATTACCCGTGATACTATCAGCAAAGCGAATAATAAGAAATTGATAAAATTTGATGGCATTTTATCATATACGTAAAAGGACATTAATTAAGACATATAGTAAAGTTTCCCATTATGATGAATAGCTTTTACTTTTATACCAAATTTCGGGTTACAAATATAACGTGACACGCAACATTATGCAAATTTTGCCAATTATGCAGGATGTGAAACGATAGAATGAATTTTATATAAAAAATAGAACCGGATTACTCACGCAGTTGTGTGCCATGATGTCATCTGATATACTGTATATGAAATTTTGATTTTCAATTTTGCGACTATTTGCTATTTGCACAATCCATCAGTGGAACTAATACGAAACAAACCCTGATATGATATTCAGGATTTCATAGTCATACGTAAAGCCTGGACAAAGTCGTACTTAAAGTCATACGTACTCAATAGTAGTGGGGACACAGTTACACAGGACATGAACTCCGACTCCGAGAATCCACATATCGAACTTCAGTTAAAAAGAAAAACCGATTACAAATTGGTGTAGAAAATGCTTGTGAATGTCTCATGAACTTAATTTGCTAGGTTGTTTAAATATGAATTGAATTTAATATCTGTTATGGTTAGTTAAAATCTAGATTCGGTGAATAGAATATCAAGCTTGGAAATCATAGTATGTAGTAATCAGAACAATTATAAGCCCACTATAAAAAGATAGACTAGTCAGATCTGATTTTAGAAAGTGCACTGCGCCATCGGTTATTTAAGACAATATGCTTTTTATCTGACACACAAATGTTACGTATGTATATTATATATATTATATATTTTTAAACGGTGCTTCACAAAGAATACTGCTTTGCTTATTTACGAAAAATAGTTTAGCCTTGAAACAGTTTAGAGTTTCAGTATTGACATGAACGTGCATAAATCCAATGAATTATGATATCTTGATTTAGTAACCACGTTCATTGAATTGGTTCAAATTTAGTATTTAAGGATATTCATAATCTCAAATTTTTTTTTTAAATCAATTTCACACTTTGTACCATACAATTATAGCATTATTTCAATTTCTTTGTATTTTTCTATTATAAAATTTTTTCTTTTTTCGGGATATTTATATATATATATATATACTCTAAACTTTTATCCCCCCGGTTGCCTACTTCAATAAACTTTCGTTCGAAACGAAAAGTTTATTAATCGAAGTGCCATTTTTTTTCATACATCACCTTACTAAAAATACTAAATATATAACGATATTATCAAAAATAATACTAAATATATACTAAACATATACTAAACAATACTAAATAATACCAAATATATATAACGATTTAATATAAAAAAAAACAAATCTGTACCTTTATTGATGAAATATTGGAGACTAGAATGATTATAGCTTCCTTATATAAATTTGTTTTAACTGCTTTTTTAGTAGTTGTAAAGGTTCGTTTTTTTTTCATTTCAGAGTTTAAACTTTTATTTTTATGCAACGCTAATTTTTTTTCTTGATTTGTTCCATTTCTTTTGGGTCGTTATCAGTGTATGCCAATATTGGTTTACGTACATGGAGCAGAATTGTATTCCGGCATTGGTAAATTACCCGCATCTAATACTTGGTATATATGTAGTGCAGATAATACAGATTATATAGGTAGGTATTTGATTTTTTTTGCAGATTATTATAGAATTATAGTAGAATTGTAGTAGTATTGTAGTATTATTGATAATAAGAATTTCTATTGAACTTTATATTTGTGATCCATTATGCTTTTGTGGAAATTCTTTCATGAAATGCTATGAATGAAGTTTATGATATTCATTCAATACTTCTCATTAATGTAGCATATGACGCACAACAAGTTAGCAATGGTCAATCAGAAACTCCAAATTTTGGTACAGTAGTTAAAGGCAGGCCTCAACCTTCATCCCAGGATCAACTTGGTTTACTAACTTACGTCACAAATTATACTGGACTTCAATTATTCATTAATCCTTCATCTCCAAATTTATCTTATTATACCGATCTTTCGTGTTTGCAAGAACCGAAGCTTAGATGTTATCAAAAAAAAAATCCACCATTTCAAACTAAGGATTTATTATGTTTGAGTGTGGTGAATCCACATGATAAAGAAATGAAATTTAGTCTATCGGTTAGCTTTACTTCCGGTATTGATCCGATATCTACCACTCCGTCTCCTTTAAATCCGGGATATAGCGTTGTTGCAACAGTGAATAATGCGAAACCGACAGCTACGCATAGTGGATCACCAAATTTTATTGCCAGTGGTAGTGATGTCGGTGGTGGAGGAACGGGAGTATGGTTGGTTTTGGTAGGTGTTGGTGTTGCAAGTTCAATATTCACCTTTTTATTATCTTGATTTATTTTGAAGACTTTACTCCCACTACTCTTATTTTTATTTTTTTGTCAAATAATTAAAATTGATACAATCTTTGTAATATATATTAAATTTTTATATCTTCATTGTATAACTGTAAAACCTTTTTTTTTTTTTTGTATAGCTTTTTTTTTCCTTACCTACAAAAATGTATTTAAATTAAAAAAAAAATAAGATTAACTTTCATAAGTACTTATGTGAGTACGCATTCATTTTAAATAAAATAATATTCATAATTTTCGAATGTTTATTTATATTTAATTAATTCGTGTTTTAGTTAAAAATGTGACTTGGACTGTATTCAAAATTCCGTTTCAACCTAAATCTAGAATAATTTCATTCCGACGTATGACATATATACTGAACATTTATTTGAGAGGTATCGAAATTTTATACAATTATCACAAGAACAATTATAAATTTGCAACATACAATAATTTTAAATTGAGTGCATTTATTAATAAATCATAAAATTTTACAAATTATTACATAAAAAAAAAACAACGCAAAAAATATTCTAATTAATATATATATTTTTTATTTATTTTCGATGCACTAAATTAATGTGATGCAAGTTAGTCATCGAACAATCGTTCGATGTCCAGGCCACACCACGAGGAGGTTTGCATCTGTGACCCAAAAGGAGTTGAAATTGGGAATTTTAATAAA